GACTAGTGACTTTAGAGTAAGTATATATATATATATATATTTTCCTTTCTGTCAGCGCTCAATCTGAGAAAGAGGCCAAGCATGGATATTCTTCACTAGAGTTTCTAACTCTAAAATAGTCACTAGTCTCAGTTCTTTGAGCTTCTTCTGTAGCTTCATGATCAAGACAATCTGTGCTTTGAGGAAAAAGGCCTTACGATTGTCAACAAAAATCATATGTGTGATGTCTTTTGATGCTACGCACGTCCTTTTGACAGTTATAACTCTACAAGCCACATCTTGACATGATTGCAGCCAATCTAACACTGGCAGCAGAGCAATTTTTACTGTTGCCGTGTTGTTTACTGTTGACACTTCACCTATTCAGATGGGAATGTAGCTTAGTTTGTAATTCACTATGGCAATGCACAACAACGCCGCTGACAAGATCTTCGAGGAATGAAGAATTCCAATGGCTGCAGGTCTGCGGGGCAAAGCTTAGGGCTGGACTAGCAGGAGTTTGTTGGATTGATGCTCGAAAGTTTTGGCTGACCCAGTCAGAGGAAACACCGCAGAATGCTGTTTAATATGGCGGCAGCTGTATCTATGTGATGTCTGAACTGCACATCTCTGGAGAGAGATTTCATTTTCAGATCTGTTGAACCGTATTTGGAGGAAACAGCTGCAGAAGAGTGCATGTGTCTATCAGTGGTGTGTGTGTGTGTGTGTGTGTGTGTGTGTGTGTGTGTGATGCTGGGCGAGGGCTGAATGTAGAAATGATTAAAGTCAACTTCTCCAACTTTTAACTTCGGAAACTATCACTTATGAAACCATTACTTTGTGTTTGCATTTGTTGAATATTCCCATTCAACCAAAATTAAAAAAACACATTTTCCCATTTCTTCTCTCCCCCCTCAAAGTATCATCTCCTCTCACCGGATCACCTCATTCCTCCTAATCCCTTCACTTTACCTCTCCCAATGGCCCGTTTCCTTCCTTACTCATCTCTAAACATGGACGAATGCTATTTCCCCAGAAGGAAATCCGATAGGGCACGGCGGGGCAGAAAGAAAATGCCACTCCACACCTGTTTTGGGAAGGAGGAGGCCCCGGCCACAGAGGGCAGGCAGAACTGATCCGGCGGGATGCAGGAGGCAAAACCCCTTAATCCCTGTGACATTTTAGCTCGCACCTCTCGTCAAAGCCTGTGAGCTGCTTGCTGTGCTGCCCGGGAAAGAGGAAGGCTGGAGGAGGGATGCTTGTGAGAGACGGAAGGAGAGGAAGGCTGAGGGACAGCGGTAGATAAAGACGGACAAGTGGGTGTTGGATTAGTAACAGGAGATGCATTTTAACAAGCTGCAAGTGTTGGATCAGATGCTTTGCTTATTGAAGAGCGGTCAGCCTCAATTTAAGGCCAGCGTCTC